TAATATGTTGACACATTTAATACACATCTAGTTGAGTTGTACTGGATAGCTTTAGTGTCAACTTGACACACCTGGGTTGAGGGATCCTCACCTGGGGAATTACCTTCATTGGACTGGCCTGTGGCCATGTCCATGGGGAATCTTCTTGATTGTTGAGTGATGTGGGAGGGCCAAGCCCACTGGGGGGGGTGCCACCCCTGGGCAGATGGGCCTACGTTGCATAAGAAAGCAGGCTGAGCAGGGGCCAGGGAGCAAGCCAGTAAGCCGTGTTCCTCCATGGCCTGTGTTCCAGCTCCTGTCTCCAGGTTCCTGCCCTGAGTTCCTACCTTGGCCTCCCTGATGAACTGTGACCTGGGGGATGTAAGCTGAATAAACCCTTTCCTCCCCAAGTTGGTAGTGGTCAGCAATGAAGAGACAAACTAGGAGAATCACCAACAAAGAAATGCCCATGTTGGATGCTCTAGCTATTGCTACCTCACCAACTCTGTCTATTCCCTATACCTGTCAGTGATCAAGCTTTGTGAATTTCTCCACTTTGAATCTTCTGTAGATTCAAAACTTATTATTAGCCTCTACCATTTTTTAGAGGCTTTTCTCATCTCTTGCTTATACTAGTTCTGTAACCTCCTTTCTTCCCTCTAGTGCAGTAATTCTTCTAGACCTATGCTACGACCCCTTTCTACAGCACATGATTTTTTTCATAAGAGGTAAGGTTACTCAGTGGGTGGAAATGTTTGCAACCAAGCCTCACTACTTGAGTTCAAGTCCTAGGACCCACATAGAAGAAAGGAACCGATTTCTTCAAGATATCCTTTAACCACATGCAGCTATGGCATGAACCCCTAAATAGATAGATGATTGATGGGAGAGAGAGAGAAAGAGACAGAGAGAGAGAGAGAGAGAGTCAGAGAGATGGTTTGATGGATAAAAGGTGCTTGCCACAAAAGCCTGATGATCAGAATTAGATCCACAGAAAGCATGTATGGGTTAGGAAGACAGAACCAACTCTACAAAGTTGTTCTCTGACCACACACTTGCACACACACACACTAAAAATTAAAAAGCAGGAGGCTGGAGAAATGGATAAGAAGTTAAGAGCACTGGCTGCTCTTGCAGAGGATCTGGGTTTGATTCCTAGCACTCATATGGCAGCTGACAAACGTCTGTAACTCTAGTTCCAGGGGATACGACACCCTCTTCTGATCTCTGCAGGCACTGCATGACATGGGTGCACTTACATACATGCAAGCAATATACATATACATGAAATAAAAATAATAAAAATATTTTTATAAAATTAAAAAGTAAAGGAAGAGAGAAGAAAGAAGAAAATAAGGAGCCAATTTCAAAGTTGTTTGTGTATTATCAAAAACATCTTTTTCCAAAAAAAATATTTTTGATTCATGGATCTGCAAATCCCTCCAGTGTTGGGAGGGTGAAACACTCTCTTCCATCTCAGCTCTCAGCCCAGCCTGGGTCTCCAGGAGCCTTCCCTGCCCCAGACTTGTGGTCCTGAGTTCTGTCCCTGAGACATCCCTGCACCCCACTACCTGAGCTCTATGTGTCCCCTCATGTTCCCACCGTAATCTATCATCCAATCTGTTCACCTAGAAGCCCCCATCCCACACTGCTGATCCAGGACCCTGTGCAGTCAATCCTGGAACCTCAACTCAGAGTTGTACCTATCTGTAGCTGAACTGAGACCAGGTCTTACACCCCATTTGTATACCAATATGAAGTGACCCCAAAACTGAACACTAAGCATTACTCAGTTAGGCCATAACCTGACAAGTTGAGGAAACAACAAACAAGATACAAACATTGAACAAGAATGAGATCACTTATTAATACCAAGAAACACCACTACACAATCCAGATTCCCAAGTCTCATCTAAAAACACATAAACAAATGAAAAAACTAAAAGAAGATAGGGATAAACTTCTGACTGAATCCACAGAAGAGACTGAAATATTGAAGAAAACTCAGGCTGAAGTGAAGAAGGAAGTGAAAAACTCAATAAGCCAATTTGAAACCACAGGAAAAGGCCTTACCACCAGAATGAACAGAATGGAAAACAGTATATCAACAGTGGAGGATAAAATTGAATTGAACCGCTCAAACAAAGATTATGAAAAAAAAAAAAAAACTTTAAACACAGGAATGGAATATGGAGGAGATATGGGATACCATGAAAAGACCAAATCTATGTATCATGGGCAGAGCGGAAGGGAAAGAATTTCAGGTTAATTGTACTGACCAGATCTTAAACAAGGTTGTAGAAGAGAACGTCCCCAAATTAAGGAAAGACATCCCCATACAAATACAAGAAGTACATAGAATATTAAATAGACAGGATCAGAAGAGAAACTCCCCCAGCATATCACAGTAAAAACACTAAACATACAGAACAAAGAGAGAATACTGAGCGCTGCAAAAGAAAAACAACTCACATATAAATGAAAATCCATCAGAATTGCAACTGACATCAGTACAAACTATGAAAGCCAAAAGAGCCTGGACCAAAGTATTCCCAGTTCTAAATGACCATGGACATCAACTCAGAATACTTTACCCAGCAAAAATGTCTATTATAGTTGAAGAGGAAATAAAAATCTTCCACAACACGAATAGACTGAAAAAATATGTGTTCACAAAACCAGCATTTCAGAGAATACTTGAAGTAATACAAAGAATGGAGAAGAGAATAACTATACCCAAGAGACAACATAAATAAATGAATGTATAATTGTAGAAACATAAAATTAGACCAAGAATGCAAACAGAACTTAAAATCAATACACATAGTTCAATAATAACATTAAATATCAATGGAATAACTCCCCTGTCAAAAGACACAGGCTAGCCCTCTGAGTTCATCTGTCCTGAGACTGTGACATTCTTTCCCCCGGCTCAGGACCAACTTTTTCAGTATTCCAAATCAGACTGAAGTCCAACAGTTCTCCAGGCATCTTCCAGATCTTCAGTGCCAGATTGGGACTGCTGAGACATCCGACCCTGCAGACTGAGCAACTACTAGATTCTCTGCCATGGCAGTCATTACTCAACTATGAGGACCATATTATGTCTGCTTCCCAGGATTCAGTCATGGCATGGGCTTCCCACTACTATCTGGCTCCTCGTGACGTGGCTTGGCTGACCCTGTCACGCCACCTCCAGTGGAGCCCACGTGAGGGAGACTCCGTGGGTCGAGGCTGAGAAAACTTCAAAGGAAGAATGCTTCCTGGAGAATGGCTGTGTTAAAAAAGCATGCTGTGTCCTTGGCTGTTCTGCTTTAGTGCTTGTCTTCATTGCTGTCTTTATTCCTGTTCTTTCCTCATAGAGGAACTGCTTTGTACCTACTCAGGTCATTAGGCCCACCT